AGGCATGGGGCAGCCTTACATCTGCATCTCCAGGGCGAAGGAAGACACAGGGGCGAGTGTGCCGCTGGTGAGGAGGAGTGTGCGGATGCCCTGGCGGACCAGCTCACGCAGGCTGTAGCCAGGGCTGAAGCACCAGTAACTGAGCACCTTCCCTGGGGGAGAGTGTGAGGCTAGGACACGGTCACGCGCAGGGAGGCCCCTCACTGCCACCCACAGGTCCTCCACAGGCAGCTGCTGGGCCCCACGGCCATATGTGCAAGTGTGACAGAGGGTGCCTGCCTGACTGAAGGTGTGACCCAGAGGCTCCTGGGAGCACACACTGGGGTCACCTCCAGAGAGGCCAGCCCACTCCACCCCAGACACACAGAGACTGATGAGTGACTCAAGCTCGTGGGACAGAGGCTACCAGGCACCCAGAAAGGAAGCCGAGCCCACCCCCGACACCCCAGACCTCCAGGGCACGTGGATGATGGAACTGTAAGGAGGAGGCGACCCCGGTCTGGGAGGTGGGAGGCAGGAAGCAGCATTGCTCACCATGGGCAAGTCACAGGTAATAGGGAGAGGCAGTTCCTTGGCACCTCCTGGACCACTGGAAAGGAGACCAGAGCCCCCCTACCCCCACCCCAAGGCAGACACGCCTGCCTACTGCCTCCTGCCTCCTGGGCTGCAGTAGGCTCGACTTTAGGAACTGAAAACAGCCCCAGTAGAATGACTCCAAACATGATTCTAAAGCCAAGGCTAGGCCACAGGTCACAGGGACATTTCCAGGAAGAACAAGCCACTTTCTGGGGCCAGAGGAGCCTCTTCCACTTTCCAGGTGGGATCTGCCTGTGATGTACAGGGCAGCCAGCACTGCCCTGGGCCAGCCCTGCGCGGGTGACAAAGGGCCATGTACTAAACCCTACAAGCTGAGGGGAGGCCTGCATGGCAGCCCAACAGACTCAGACCCGAAAGTAACCACACAGGATGGTCTGAACCTACAAATTCCCAACTACAAGTGGGTCATGTCCTTGGCCTGCAGCTTCCTTGACAAAGGTCAGTCTTCCCCTTAACTGAGCGATCTTGGCCTTTTTGCATCTAAGATAACAGGCTTCTGGAACGGCAGAGTAATCTCCCTTCCAGTCCCCTCAGGGCACAAACTCCCACCAGAGCAGAGACCACAGAGCCCCTCACTGTTATCTTGTACCACAGATACATCTCTATTGGCTATAAATGTTAACTATCCTATACCCACCAATGTAAAACTAAGCATCTCTCCCTTTTATTTTCTATCTAATCTCAGAGGTTTCGATTTGCTTTCTCCCACCTCCCTAATCTACCACCCATGGGTGTCATGTAACCCCCTTACGTCTCCTCCTTTGCCTCTAATGTATAAAATAAGCTGTAAAACAGCCATTCTCAGGAGCATTTTCTTAATCCCTTGAGATTTTGCTTCCTGGCAATTTTTGTCAATTTGACTCAAACTCATAAAAATTCTCTACAGGTTTGGATATTTTACATTGACACCTGCAATAGCAGAGACCAGGGGTAACCTAGGAGGAGCGGCAGGATGCTGGAGCCCCAGCCTCGGCATGTGTTGCTCTGTGCCAGGGCCCGCCCGACCCCAGCTTTTCAGGAAGGCGGGAGATGATCCAATTTCCTATAAACACCCAATCCAGCCCCAGCTGGTTTAGCTCAGTGGTTAGACCGTCAGCCCTTAGACTGAAGGGTCCCGGGTTTGATCTCAGCCAAGGGCATGTACCTTGGTTGTAGGCTCAATCCCTGACCCCAGTTGGGTCATGTGCAGTAGGCAACCAATCAATGTGTCTCTCTCCCATCGATGTCTCTCTCTCTCCCTTCTACCCTGAAAAGCAATGGAAAAAATATCCTCAGGTGAGGATTAAAAGTAATCATATTAAGCCCGGCCTGGCGTGGCTCAGTGGTTGACCTAGGATCCAGGAGATCGCAGTTCGATTCCTGGTCAGGGCACATGCCCAGGCTGTGGGCTTGATCCCCAGTCAGGGGCGTGCAGGAGACAGCTGATCAATGACTCTCTCATCATTGATGTTTCTCTCTTTCTCTCTCCCTCTCCCTTCCTCTCTCTGAAATCAATAAAGATATATTTAAAATAATAATAAACACCCAACCCAGGGAGTAGCTACTTATGAGAATCCACATGCTCTCNACCTCCCTAATCTACCACCCATGGGTGTCATGTAACCCCCTTACGTCTCCTCCTTTGCCTCTAATGTATAAAATAAGCTGTAAAACAGCCATTCTCAGGAGCATTTTCTTAATCCCTTGAGATTTTGCTTCCTGGCAATTTTTGTCAATTTGACTCAAACTCATAAAAATTCTCTACAGGTTTGGATATTTTACATTGACACCTGCAATAGCAGAGACCAGGGGTAACCTAGGAGGAGCGGCAGGATGCTGGAGCCCCAGCCTCGGCATGTGTTGCTCTGTGCCAGGGCCCGCCCGACCCCAGCTTTTCAGGAAGGCGGGAGATGATCCAATTTCCTATAAACACCCAATCCAGCCCCAGCTGGTTTAGCTCAGTGGTTAGACCGTCAGCCCTTAGACTGAAGGGTCCCGGGTTTGATCTCAGCCAAGGGCATGTACCTTGGTTGTAGGCTCAATCCCTGACCCCAGTTGGGTCATGTGCAGTAGGCAACCAATCAATGTGTCTCTCTCCCATCGATGTCTCTCTCTCTCCCTTCTACCCTGAAAAGCAATGGAAAAAATATCCTCAGGTGAGGATTAAAAGTAATCATATTAAGCCCGGCCTGGCGTGGCTCAGTGGTTGACCTAGGATCCAGGAGATCGCAGTTCGATTCCTGGTCAGGGCACATGCCCAGGCTGTGGGCTTGATCCCCAGTCAGGGGCGTGCAGGAGACAGCTGATCAATGACTCTCTCATCATTGATGTTTCTCTCTTTCTCTCTCCCTCTCCCTTCCTCTCTCTGAAATCAATAAAGATATATTTAAAATAATAATAAACACCCAACCCAGGGAGTAGCTACTTATGAGAATCCACATGCTCTCAGAGGTACAGAAAACAAAGGTGTTACTGCGCCCCACTCACCCTTGGCACCTGTGTCCTTGCCAGGCTAAGGCTTAGTCCCACAGGGAGAGCAGGAGGATTCAGATGCCTCCGAAGATTGTGGATGCTGTGTGAGGGGCGAACTGGTCTCCGCACGACTACCCCCACACTCCTGACCCTCCTCTGTGTCGGCAGTGCTGAGAGCTGGGCCCAGAGCACAGGTGGGCACTGGTGGGCCACTAGCTGCACCGGCCAGGATGGGGAGTGGCCTTGACCACAGGATCATCGCCCTGGACCTGTAGGGCTACAAGCCCCATCCAAAAGGCCAAGTCCCAAGGCACTCTGGCGAGGACATTTGCCAGGACTGGATACCTCAGGAATATGTGCCTGAGCTGGCACAGTCCACCAAAACCAAGAGCCTCAGTGCACCTGGCAGACCCTGCCCAGAGTCCCCAGCAACCTGAGACCCAGGAAGCTGGGCAGCAGGTGAAGCTGATAGGGAGAGGGCAGGACTCTGGGACAGGCTTGAGCTCACAGCGGGCATCAGGGAAACAGGGCCAGCTCCAGTGGACCCCTCAATGTGACCCTGAGACCCGCAGAATGGCCTCAGCCTGAGCCTGCCCCCCATCTGTCCACCTGGTGGACAGAGTGAAAGCCCCATGCATAGTCAGGGCCTGTGAACCCTTTTCAAAAACATCCCCAGTGGTGCAGGAGGCCTGGCTGTGCCCTCACTTGGTGGACACCCACCTGGTGACTCAGGGCAGTGCCACTGGGCCTCCTCCCAGGCCTCTCTGGCTGAGAACTCTTTCAGGGCAAGTAGGGAGGTGGCCTACAGAAGGCTGGACTCAAGGGTGGCTTTGATGTGGCACCTCACTGTGGTCGAGCAGGGGAGCGTGTCTGGCCCCCAGGTGTTGTACCTTGCTTTCTGGCTGCTGTGGAGCTCCAGGCATCTGACCGCTGAGCTGTCCTCCGGTGACTGGTGTCAGGGTGGATGTGCACCTGGAGGGTAAAATGGACAGGTGTCCTGAGACCCCCACCTGTAGACCCCCTCCTGGAGGCAGCCCCCACCTCATAGGATTGAAACTCCTGCCCACAGCCCCTCCTGGACGCGGCACCCACCTTGTAGGACTGAGAGGCCCCCAGCCCCAATGTGGAGCCGTCCTCGGCAGGGTCTGCACTGAACACAATCTGGAAGGAGATGACGGACAGTCAGCAGGACACACCACATAGGACAGAGGAATGCGTGGGGTGTCGTCATCACCTGCCCCACCTTTGAGCCAACAGCATCCCTGGTTTGAGACCCCAGGCTGAGGGGAAGAGCTCACATCTGCCTCTCCCTTCTCACAGGGACCACCCCCCGTGCAGGAGTTTCAGATTCCAACAACTTCTGAGTCCCGAGGCAACAGGCCCATGGTGCCTTTCACTGCTGCCCACCCCTCTTTTCCCTTCCCCACCCCTTCCACGACCTCTCCACCCCAGGACGGCAGTCTCCACACAGCACTGTCCAGTTGCTTGGGGTCCTGTCCTGCCTGATGCCCAGCGGGCCTGTGGTTGGGCCGTGCACAGTGGCATCTGTGACCTGTAGCACCAGAGACCACCAGCATCCTGTCAGCTGGTCCAGCAGGTGTGCAGGTCTCACACCATCTCGGGTCCCCACATCATTGCCTGCTCTGTCCCTCTGAGGCTGGCCTCGTCCAGTGTCCAGCCTGGGTCAGCTTTATACCTTCTGTCCTGCAAAAACTGTGAGCTCCTCCTGTTTCACCGCAGGCTGCCTGTCTGACCAGCTCATGGCCCCACTGACGCACAGCCGGCAGGCACCCAGAGCTCCAGGCCAGCGGCACACCCTGTGACCCTATCCAAGTCCACCTAGCCCAGCCATGTTTGGGGGGCCTGTGCCCGAGCACCAGGTGCTCAGGAACAGGTATGGGACAAGCAGCTACCAGTTACACTCTCTCCAGCTGGAGAGGACACACCAGCACACACACCAGGCAGGCAGCCCCAGCAACCAGGGGGTCCCACATCACCTGCCAGGGGCTACTCAGAGCAGCTGCCACAAGGAATTCCAAACCAGGGGCTGAGCAGTTAGGGTTCCAGAGAGCCTGGAAGGGCAGAAACCTGCTCCACTAATGGGTGTCTAAGGAGGGAGGCGAGGGGCTCCTGTGTTCCGTCTGCCAAGGACCCGTGGCCACTGAGGGCCCTCTTCAGCAATGCCAGTGAGGCAGAGGGCTTGAAACACCACGTGGCCCTTGGCAGCCGGCCTGGCAGCCTCCCAACTGAGGGAGAATGGCCGGCTCACTGCCCTGAGCTGAGGAAGCAGCTCAGCTGGACAGAGGGCAGCGTGGAGGGGCGGCAGGAAGTGCTGTGTCCAGCAGCCCTGAGGCCTGACATTCCCACTGGGTCTGCAGAGGAGGGGCTCATCCACCCTGGAGGCTGCCCCACACCAAAGCAACTTCCTGGGCCCAGGGTGAGACCGGCTGGAGGGCACTTGGGAACCAAGTCCACTGCCCAGACTTGCCAGTCCCACGGGCCCCACCTGGGTTCACGGGCGTTGAACACACTGACACGTCTGCACGCCTCTCCGTGAGTGGCAGGCCCTGCGGCCTGGCATGGGGCTGAGGGAACAAGAGCCTACCACCCCCACTCTGTGACGGCTTACGCTTTGACATTCCTCTGAGTAGCTGTTTCAGGAAAACACTTGAGAAGATTTTTGCCCGTCAGTGCCCACCCAAGTGCAGCCGTGACCCCAGGGTCGGCAGGGTGCACTCAGGGCAGAAAGGAGCCCAAGGGTGGCTAATCTGAAGCATGGGGTGTGGATGCCTCAGCCTTGCCCTGGGTCTAGCCTGAGAGACAAGTGCAGGAGAAGGAAGCACCCTGTATCCCAGGGAGGAGTGCCCGCATCCTGGTTGCTGGCCGGTACCTGGATGATGTCCGAGAGCTTCTGCAGTCCTGCTGTGTTGGTGAACAGCCCAGTGCCTGTGGGAGCAGTGGCACTGATCACCCAGCACCAGCAGTGGAGCCACGAGCCACCTGGACATGTGCTCAGCTCCACCTTCCCCCAAATTGACATAGGGACGCCCGAGGGGAGGGAGCTTGCTTGCTCCTCCGGGGTGAGATCAAATAAGGCCGGGGCAACCAGGCCACCCCACCGAGCCCAGGAGGGAACCAATGCTGGCAGGGCCACAGCTCCCTGACCCCGCTTTTCTGTAAGGCTGACTAGGAACAGGCTAAGCTGGACGAAAGCACCACAGTCAAATGGCACTGGAACCCACAAGTCCCTCACACTCCCCTCAGTGTAGGCGGCAGGCTGCGACCCTACGTCCAGCCTGCAGTGAGTCTCAGGCAGGCACAGGGCACAGAGGACTCACGTCCTGCCAGGTACTGGATGATCTGGTCCAGGGAGTCCAAGATGCACCCCTTGGTCTGAAACGTGATCTGGGCCTCGGCGAACAGCTCGAAGATGTAGCTGCCAGGGAGAGGGAAGACTAGGCTATGATTTGAGAACCTAATGGTCAATGGCTTTTCAGAAACAGGCTCTGAGCCCCCAGGGGAGGCCACCTGGAGGTACCAGGTCTCTGCCTCCAAGAGTTCTGGGGGGAGGAGAGCAGCCTCGAAGCCCCCAGAGCTCAGGCTCCAGGTGGGTTTTGTGAGGGGTCATCAGAGCCTCCCTGAGGCGGTGGCTCTGGTCAGGCTTCCAGAGAGCAGCTTTGGAGAGAGATGGGGGGGCACCAGGTCTGGGTGCTGTGGAGGGAGCGGGGCAGGGCAAAGGTGCAGCTTGCCTCATATGAAAGGCAACTGGGGACCTGTGAGGGTCTGAGCACAGCAGAGCAGACGGGCAGCCTGTGAAGAACAATCAACCCCTGATGGTCCAGCCTGGGCTCCAGCACCACCGTCAGCTGTGTCCCAAAGAGGCCACAACCAGCCTCAGCTGTGGGTGTGTGCTACAGGAAGTGAGCCCCGCTGCCCCACTGCTGAGAACCTGGACATCCTAACTGTTCAGAATATTCCGGGCCCTCTGGAGGCCTAAAGAGGTGGCTGCTGTGGCTGCACTTTTCATCCTAACAGAAGGTGTGCTCAGGCAGGTGTCTGAGCACCAGAAGAGGGGCACACAGAACGGGGGTAGACCAGGGAACCTCAGGGTGAGTCGGCAGCCCCTCCTAGACCTCCAGGCCTGTTAGGGACCTTATCGGTGTGTGAGCCAGCAACACCCACTGGGTGCCCAGGACAGAGCCCCACACACATCTGTCTCTAGCTCCAGGTGGGGCCCGGGGTCAAGGTGCCAGTTCCCAGTCCCTCACCTCCCAGGCTTGGTGATGCCTGTGTCATCTCCAGGCAGCTCGACGGCATCAATGGCCCCCTCCAGGCGAAGCAGAATCACTGCAGGGCACAGGGTGGTCAGGGGCAGCCCCCAGCCACAGCAGGTGGGTAGGGGTGTGGACAGCACTTACTCTTCAGCTTCGCAATGTCCTCCAGCTCCATGTTCAGCCCTGGGAGGGAAAGCAGCAAATCCACAAGTGTGCGTCATTCCCACAGCACTGGCCTGTGAGGGAGCCCCACAGGGAGAAGAGGCTCTGTCTGCGAAACCGGAGCCAGAGCTGAAGCATTCCTCTGGGTAGCTGTTTCAGGAACAGCTGGGACGCATGGTTTGTAAAAGTTTCTCCCATTCTGTGGGCTGACTTTCTGCTTCCTGGACAGTGTCCTCTGAAGCACAAAGTTTTTAATTCTGATGAAGCCCAACGTATCTATATTTTCTTTTAGTGACTGTGCTGCTAGTGTCATTTCTATGAAACCTCTGCCTAAGGCGCGGCCACGGAGATGGACGGACACCCAGACGAGCCCACTGCTCAGTGCGGCTGTGCGCGTGGCCTCCTGCAGAGCATGGCACACAAAGGAGGGGAACGGAGTAGCTTGTGGAGAAACTGACAGAGACAACCTCAACCAGGCGGTCAAGGTTGAAACCAACCGTCATAAGTCAGAAGTTGAGAGCGTGGACATGGAAGGATGTGATGAAAGGGCATTTTATTTACATCTGTGCTCTTCCTCCCAAATCCCGTAACCCAGTAAATTTCAGAAAAACATCAGACAAACCCCAACTCAGGGATATTATACAAAACACCCAACCAATCCTCCTCCAGACCATCAGGGTTATCAAGAACAAGGGAAGTCTGAGAACTGTCCCAGGTGAGAGCAGGCTGGGAGGTGCTGAGGGGTGTCATGTGCACCGAACAGGGACGTCCAGAGAACCAGGGACATCACCCATTCACACCCCATAGGATGCTATTGCCAAAAAAATACAGGGCCCCAAACAACCGAAAAGATGTTCAATTTCACCCCTAAGAGAAAAGCAGATCAGAATTACACAAAGATCCATGTTTCATCCATTGAAGTGGCCAGAATTAAAAAGCCTGATGTCACACTGAGTTATGAGGTAAATGGGACAGACACTCAGCCCACTGCTGGTGGGAGCACAGTCTGGGCCTGTACCCGTAACAGATACGCTCACCTGCTAACCCAGCTGCCCCACTTCTGGGAATTCACCCTGAAGAAATCCTGCCAACGAGATGAAAGCGCATACGCACTAGGTTACTCATTACTGCCCTGTCTGTAACTGCAAATCCGGGAAACGACCTCCACGCCAGGGAAGCAGTTGGGTAGACACGGGAGGTAGGCCCGGGGGGAGGTAGTGGGCAGCTGGAGCGAGGACGGGATATCGGCATGGGGAGGCGTTCACAGGACACATCAGGGAGTAAACATGGCAAAGTGCACACAAGCATGTACAAAGTGCAGGAAAGAACAGAGAGTGAAAACAAGAAGAGAAAGCAAGTAAGATGTCCTGGCAAAGGCAAAGAAAGAACCAACCAGAAACTAACAGGACACTTCTCTCAAGTACGACTTTGGTTTCTGGAACCATGTGAGTGTTTCAAATACTCAGGAAAAGAGGTAATAACAAAATCCACGTGAACAGAGAAAAATGAAAAGATAAAAGTGAGATACAAACAGAAACAAATCACATGAATAACATGACCAGTGGTGGGAGGAGGCATCCAAGCAGCCTCTGAGCCCTGTGCTGACTCCCAGTCGCGCTGCAGGAAGGAGGGGAGCCGGTGGCAGCTCCAGTTGTGTGTGAGTGACATGGGAGAGTCCAAACAAGCAACGAGGCAGGAGGCGGTTCAGGTGTAAACCTCGCAGGAATCATTCATTCAGGAAGAACCATTAATGGAAGCCACTAGTTGCATAGGAATTTAATGAAACAACAAGGACTTCACGGCAGAAAGCCTGGCCATTACCTCTTAACCCAGTGTCACCAAAATAAGACAAATGCTGGGCCTTGTGACCTGACGGGCTGATTCCTGCCCCAAACACACAGTTGCATCGAACTATGAAGATGCCACAGACAAACCCAGACTGTAGGACATTCAACACCGTAACTAACTTCCTCTTTACAAACGTCCAGGCTGAGCCGGACAACACCGAGACCCTGTCCAGATTATAGCCCAGAGCCACAGGCCCAGGGCAGCAGCCCCGCTCCCAGACTAGGACGTTTTATGGAGATGTGCTCTGGGCTACAGTGACAGCCGAAAAGTCTTACTGTGGTCTCTCAACTAGACAAGACAGCAGTATCCATGCTCACTTCCCGAGTGGGTCATTGCACTGCGGCCACGGGAGAGGGTCCCTGTTCTCAGGAAGCACACCTGAGGTACCTGCACCTGCCCATGTGGAGGGGAGGCTTATCCAACGGGGCAAACCCTAGCAAGGGGAGTCTGGGTGAAGGATAAGTGGTTCTTTACCAGCAAATTATCTGTAAGTTTGCCGTGACTTCAAAATAAAAGTTATGTGAAACAAAAAAATGAACATTTCAGAACAAGATATGAGATATGAAACAACATAAGTCAGGTTTTCAAAAACTCAGAAATGAAGTGACAGACTCACATGAAATGAGAAGGAAAGCAAAGAATTATTCTGGAAGCGAGGGCTAAATTAGAAGGAACACAGAAGCAGAAACAGGCCACAGACAGGGCCTTAGAAATCACAGGTGGGTACAAACCTTGAATCACCCTCCTGCACACCTGGAACTCAATGGCAAAAAGGGTGTTAAAGAAAAACAGAGACACCCTGGCTAGTGTGCTCAGTGGCTGGAGCATTGGCCTGCACACCCGAGGGTGCAGGTTTGATTCCCGGTCAAGGGCATGTACCGAGGGTGCACGTTTGATCCCCAATCAATGTCTGTCTCTCTCCCCTCTCCCTCCACTCTCTAAAAAACCAATGGAAAAATATCCTCATTCCTCAGGTAAGAATTTTTAAAAAACCAAAACAGAGATAAGAAGGACTGGAGAGCGAAGCTCTGACTGAGGTGGACAGAGCGTGCCCGGAAGCGCAGCCTGGAGCACAAGCGGGAAAACATCCCAAACAAACAGCTTCGCACACATGCTGAGACGGCACATCACATACCGGGCGATATTGATCCAGAAAAATCCACATGGAGACAACAAAATCACTGGGCTTTAAAGAGAAAAAAAAACCCTAAAAGAACCCATGACTTCTGAATTAAAATGGTTTTTAAAAAAAACGTTTTTATTGATTTCAGCAAGAGGAAGGGAGAGGGAGAGAGAGAGAGACATCAATGATGAGAGAGACACATCAATCGCCTGCATACCCCCTACTGGGGATTGAGCCTGAAACCCAGGCTTGTGCCCTGACAGGGAAACGAACCATGACCCCCTGGTTCATAGGTCGATGCTCAACCACTGAGCCCTGTCAGCTCAGCGGAAATAAAATAAATTCATTTAAAAATAACCAGGCTGTGGTCAAGGGCACATACCTCGGCTGCAGGGTCAATCCCTGGAGCACGCAGGAAGCAATCAATGTCTCCCGTCGATGTCTCTCTCTCTCGCTCCCCTCCCTCCCTTCCACGCTCTAAAGATCAATGAAAAACACTCTCAAGTGAGGATTAAAAATAAAAAAGTGACCAGGTTGAGGAAATGCAGGTGACATCAGCCAGCAGCCTGCGCTCACAGGCACCTGGAGACACTCCCACTTTCTCAGACACCTGGGTCTGGGTGTTGCGTTCAGCTGACTTAGAAATTCTAACCACAGGGGAACAGTGAGGTAAACAGCGGGTCATCAGGTGTGGCCCGGGGCCTGGGCCCTGAGCCCTGTTCAGGTCACGGCAAGGCCAAGCCTATTTTCAGGACATTCCTGCTAGTAAATAACAATCAACATGTACTATCTGCCTTTTTTCTCTCTTGTTCCTACAATGCCATTTCCAGAGGCTACTTGTGGGAGGCTGGTAACAACCCCCACATGTTCGCACCCTAATCCCCTTCCATGGCAACAGGGACTCTGCAGGTGTGATGACGTAAAGGGTCTTAAGATGGGTCATCCAGGTGGGAGGGAGGCAGGGGTCAGAGGAGAGGGGGCATGGAGCAAAAGGGAGAGGGATGTGGGGGCCAGGGCCAAGGATGCAGCACCTCTGGGAGCTGAGAAAGGCCAGACAGATTTTCCTGGAGCCCCCAGGAGGAAGGTGGCCCTGCGACCTGTTCTGCATTCATGAGGACCGTGCCATAACCAGGTTGTGCTGCTTTAAGCCAGAGTCTGTGGCAACCGTCACAGCAGCAGCAGGACCTGGACCCAGCGTGGCTGTGATACACAAGTGTGGGGCTCAACTTTCTTCTGTTATGCCAGATATTAGAGATTTGCAAAAATGTAAAACAATGTCACTCTTCTAACTTTTAGAAGTTATTTTTCAAGAAAAATGTTATTTCTTTTAACACATTATGGAGTGAATCATGTCCTGGATACGGACATGCTCACGTCCTAACCCGATACCTGGGAATCGGGCCTTATTTGTAAACAGGGCCTCTGCAGAGGTGATCAAGTTGAGGCCACAGTATCTGGGGGTGGGCCCCCCTCCAATGACTGCTGTCCTTGTAAGAGGAAATCTGGACACAGACACACAGGGGACACCATGTGAAGAAGAGATTGGGGTGGTGAGTCTATAAGCCAAGGGCACCAGCAGCTGGGAGAGGGGCCTGAGAGACACACCCCTGAGAAGAGACTTCTGGCCCCACAACCGCTAGGATTGGTCTCTGCGTTTCAGCCTCTCTGTGTGAATCCTTTGTTATAACATCCCTGGGTTTGTTCTTTCAAGAAAATAAATCTCCTAAAATGTTTCCGTTTTCATTGCTCACAGTATCCACAGATGTAATTCACATAAACCATGCTCAGCCAGTTTTAAGAATGTCAAGTGCCCTGAAGCCAAAATGTTTGAGAACTTCTGTGCTAAACAAAGAAATGCTATTTGCAAACACTACGCCTTCCAAGGCAGGTGTGCCCGTGGGTCCAGGAGGCCAGGGACCGTGCCAGAAAGGAAGTCAGCGTTGGCAAGAACACGGAGAGGGAGCCGCCAGACCGCTCCCTGCAGAGCTTGTTCGCATTTGTGATCAGAGGAGGACACAGGCCGCCGCCTGAGCCCCACGCCCACGTGAGGACACCCGACATCTGAACACGTTCATAGCACGAAGCATGAACACTAAAAAGTATGCAGCAACCGCTGGAAACATCACCACAAAGCAGTCTGCCAAAGCAAACCTAGAGTCCTTGTCAGCTACTAACAAACATGTGGACAGACTACCACGTCCATCAAAGGATTCTCCGTACACTACTACTTTCCCCAGGAGGACACTGGGAACAAACCTATGAGAGGAGGGGAGCACAGACACTGCTCGCGGGTCATTAAAAGTGTCCCCATAGTTAATACATCTCTTTTCCCCTTTTACACAGCAGAGGGAAAGAACACAGGCTGGGAAAGGATGGGAAGGTCTTCAGAAAATGCCAGAATGGTCGGGCAAAACCCACCCCCATCTGTGGGGCCCAAGGAAGTCTCTTGAAGTGTCCCCAGATGCCGACCTAGAAGGGCCGTGGGCCGACGGCCTCTGGGTCCCAAGACCACCTTGCCAGTCCTCGGTGTCCTGTCCATAAGCTCACCTGAGTTGGCGTCTGCACTGAACTCCAGGCAAAGCTCGCCCTGCTGCGCTGCCTTGGTCTGCTCCTCTAGAACCTGGTCTATGACATCCAGTCCGGAAGCCACATCATGGGGGGTCAGGTCAAAGGATGCCGACTCCTCACACATCTTCTCCTGAGAGCCCAAGCACCCAGCATTATGGTAAACAGGAGCCAGGACTGGGGGGCTCAGGAGGCAGGGCCTGGGGGTGCAGAGCTAAAGGGAGTGGAGAGCCCCAACCCTACCCCACAGGCTCTGAGGCTGGGTCACAAACATCCCAAGATGGTAGCTTAGCCCAGACCAGTGTTTGAAAACCATTTTACTTGAGCAGCCAACATTTCATAATTTAAAAACTTCCCATTAAAATCTAGATTTCTGGCTGCTCTCAAAGTCAGATCTGGCCCACCAGTGGCAACAAGTGCCTGGAACCCAGTGGAGGCTGAGGATGGCCACCACCAACACAGGACACGAGGCTCTTGCAAAGCTGTCCCAGCTCCAGAGCATGCACATGGCTGCTCCAAGCGGGCTCCCGCCAGAGCCTGGTCAAGGCCGCCATTCCTGGAAACACGGGGTCCTGGCAGAGGCCACATGGATGGCTGAGGGTGCAGGTGACAGGTTTGCTTGGTCCTGACAGCCAGGGCCACAGGGATGTGCGCAGGAGGGGGGGGCACTGGGAAGGCCACTGGGCACTCACCACATTGTGAGCTTCATCAAAGATCACCACTGTCCCCTTCAGGTCGATGCCGTGTGCCCGGCGACTCTGTAGCCAGGAAGAGGGGCAGGGTTGCATCCAAGGGAGCAGGGCCACCACTGTCCTTCACAGGCCCCTGGAGGCCAGGCAGGGAGGCTGTGACGCACAGCCCTCCAGGGCCCCAAGTCCCACACTGCCGGGGACACAGGGAAAGGCCTCTGACACCTACTGCTGGGTAGTGGCTGGTCGGAGCCATCGGGCAATGCCCACCCACCACTGAGCTGGGTGTCAGGGGCCCGTCCCAGTGACATTCACGAGGGAACAGGCAGGTGACGCCTCTCCACAATGCGCAGCCACCAAATGGAGGAGGAAGACCCACCAGCACCACTGCCTGGTGCACCTGGGGAGGCATCTGAGCCTGAGTGTGAGGGGGTCATCTGGAGTGGGGTCTGGCATCTGTCCTTCTTTAATTCTCATTTTAAAAGTGTCTATTTTAAGTGTGCTGTTGAGTTTTAAGAAATATGAGCACCCAAAGCAAGAGGTGACATCCCTGCAGTGAGACCTCGACCTGCTTTCTGTGAGTAGGGAGCAGGTCAGCCCGGGCTCGCCCTCCTGGGAGCGGAGTCTGGCTGCGGGCTCCTGTGAGGGCGAGCCCACGGTGTGGCTGTGTATAGCACAGGCCACCCCTTCCGAGTGCTCAACGCTGTCCTGGGGACAGCAGCTGTTAATGGACGGGGCTATCCCTAGCTCAGTGAGTGTGAAAACTCCAGGAACTCGCTGCGTAAGTCTTGGACGCGCTGGCTTCTCTGGGAGTCTCCAGGGCAGCGCAAAACCTCTCACTGGCAGCAGTGCTGAGCCACCCAGTGCGCCACGTCCTCATCAACACCAATTGTGTTAGGTCTTTTGAATTTCAGCCATTTGGGTGAGAATGTAGGGCCATCCCCCTGTGGTTTTCAAGTGCATGTCCTGAACCTTTGCCACGCAGGGCTTGACTGGGCAATTTCCTCGATTTTCCACAAAGTGTCTGTGCGGAACTTTTCCATAGTTGGCTGGGCTGTTTGCTAAGTTACAAGAGCGGCACATATTTTGGGCACAGCCCTTGAAAGACATGTACCAGGAGCATGTCCTTCCTTTCTGTGGCTTGCCTTTCAATTTTCTTAATTTTTCTCACTCTTTCAAAGGCTCAAGGCTTTAAATTGTGGTCAAGTCCCATTTATCAATTTTCCCTTTACGGCTGGTGCCTTGTGCATCCAAGCAAAGAAAGCTCGCAGAGCCCCCCAGACTGCAGTGACCGCAGGTACTCTAGAATCAGCTTTGTGTCATGTGAAGTCCTTAAGTCCTGGGGGAGACCCACTCTTTTCCAAACAGACATCCAGTTGCTCTAGCACCAAACCTTTCCTTTCCCATAGAAACATCTTGGCAAGTCTCTGTGGGCTTGTCCTGGACTTGACATGCACATTTCTGTGGCAAGTCCTGGGGTCAGGAGTGGGAGCCTGCCCTGCCCCTCTGTCTGGACGGCCCTGCTCTGAGATCATTAGTGTTTCCAGAAGATGTTGGAACAACCAGCCTGTCAGCTGAGATATCACTGTTCTGGGGGCCCAGGCCCGGCAGCCAGGTTAAAAGCATAACTCGAGAGGATCACCCGGGCAAATCACCGCTCCAGCCTTGCTGGGCTCCAGGTCCTCCCCCTCCACTTTCTCCAGCCACTTGCTTGAGCAGTGGTTCTGGTGGCAGCTGCTCCTCAGGCCGTGCCCCAGGCTCACGCCATGGCGCTCAGGCACTACCAGCTCCTGCACCAACTCTGCTGGGTGTCAGAGCCCCATACTCAGCACCGGCTTTGCTCCCTGCTGTCTCCCAGCACCCAGACCCATGCCTGGCACAGGGCTCTGCCAGCATGATCCCTGTGATCCAGTCGATGCCGAGGACCCTGGACAGGACATGTGCACAGTGCTTCCCTGACAGAGCATGAGCCAGTGGACATGGGGAGCGAGGCGTGATGCTCCTGTGCTAAAACAGGAGGCCTAGTGTGACGATGAGTCTCTGACCCATGACCTGAACCAGCAGAGGCTCCGACGGCCCCTCACGGGCCCGGGGAGACCCTGGGGTTGGAAATCGTCCTCAGTGGCTGGGGCCTCACCTTGGCATCCAGCAGGTAGTTGTATGGCATGAAGATGATGTCAGCCTGCTGCTTCAGGTTCCGGGACAGGTAGTAGGGGCACAGCCTGGGAGCACAGGGGGATGTGAGCCATGCAGGGCTGAGGCGGGGGCGGGTGTTCGGGACGTGCAGCAGCAGCCCTGGGCCACAGGCTGGGGCCGGGCTGGACACTGCGTCCTCTGACAGGCACTGCACAGGTTGGAAGGGGGCATGTGTGTCCAACCCTGGGAGTGGATTACCTACTTAAAAAGCTACAAAAACAAGAAAGCTCCAACACTGTTCTGGACAGATCAGTGAGGGGATCAGAAACAGAGGCCTGTCTTATCACAGGTCAGAGCCTGATGCTCTGAGAAACTGCCAGCAAACGTCAGAGAGGCGGCCCGTGAGCGGCCAGCGGAGGGCTGAGCTCTGAGGCAGGAAGGTCAGCACAGTGCCCACAGGACCCTGAAAACCAGACCACAGGAATGCAGAGGGCGGGTCCACACCCGTAGTGGTCACCAGCAGGTGGGCTGAGGGCAGGGAAGGAGGGCAAGGTCCACCTCTTACTCTCTGTTCCTCAGAACTGCTCATGTTTTTCATATGGAACAACTGTTAGTTTCATGATTAAAAAACAAAAACAGAAAAGGAAAGAAACGTGTGTGCAGCTCATGGCTGAGATCCTACCTGGAAGGGCACAACAATGACGCCTCAAGGGAGGGACTTACCTGTGCCTGTTCCCACTCTTGACCAGGTCCTCGATGTCCAGGATGGGGGTGGCCAGGTCCTGCTCCAGGCTCTTCTCTGGGGACACAGGCAGGAGTAAGCACATGCCCTGTGGCCCTCTGAGTCCCTAGACTCTAGGGAACACCCAGGATGGGACAGCTCCTATAAAGTGAGCAGGGGGGGCGGCCACCTTGAGACCCCCCCTCAGGGTAGGACTGGGGTTCCCAGCCACCTGGGAACTCACTGGAGAGAATCCCCGCCCGATGGGCCTCAGGGTCCCTGGGGAGGGCTCTGAACCTGAAATGACCCCAAAGGAGTCCTGTTCTGCACCCAGAAGGTGGCTGTCAGCCAGGCGCAGGGAGTGGAGCCCCTCAGCCTATCACTGCCCTGCAGAGGCTCCTGAGGACACAGACAGCCAGGGCAGCGTCTGACCTGGAATTGGGCTGCGGTCCCTTCCTCTCCTCCACCCTTCCCACCAGGGAGAACAGGCTCAGTCTCCCCAAAGAAAGCAGGGCTGCAGCCAGGAACAGAGTGCTGGGGTCACTGCCTGCCAGGAACAGTGCAGGGAGCATGAACCTGAGGCAGAGCCCACTGAAGGCCAGACAGCCCCAGGGTCCCTTCCTCTGGTGACAGTCATGCCAGGCACCACTCCCTGCTTGCTGCGTGGCCCAGGGCAGAAAGGGCCTCAGGAAGGGGCACAGGCTCCCCAACTGGGCCCACAGGAATCTGCTGGGAACTGCTTTAATGCAGGGAGTCCAGGGACCATGCCCTGGTTGGTGGGACCAGGGGTCTCTGACAAGCACCCCAGAGTCTCAGGGCAGCCACATGTGGAAACCAACCTAACTCCCAGCCCTACTGTGGCAGGGACTAGCCAGAATACTAAAGTGCAGAGACCAGAATACACTGGGCGCTCATCAGCGACCTAACCCTAAAGTGACCCCAGGGATAGCAAGGAGGGAGGAGGAGCCACCCACCCACAGCGCCATAGCAACCAACCAGCCAATCCACAGCGCTGTGCAGTAGGCCAGTGCCAGCTCAGTGACCTGATTGGGGGTTGGGGCGCAGCAAGGAGGGCACCCACTGGGCTGCCTGATGAGATGCTGCATGTGCCCCACCCCCAGGGCACAGGCTGGGCAGTTCCAGTTCTGTATCTCTCCTCCCACATAAGCCGCCCCTCCTCTCAGACCCTCCAGGGTCTCTCCCCACTTCTCTCTCCCTACTAAGTGCTGGGCAGCTGCTGGAGTCCCCCCTCATATCCCATGGGTAGGGGGGAAGGGGAGGCTGAGACACAGCAAGGACGCTCATGTTTACGGTGAGTGGGCCCCCCAACAGCACAGGCAGCGAGAGCTAAAGCACAGCAGGTGGGTTGGGGACCGGGGAGGAGACAGATGGAGGCCAGAGCCAGCAGGCCAGCTGGGAAAGCCTCCCTTGCTTGCCACACAGGGCCTGGGGCAGTGGGGATGGGGCCGCAGCCTAGAGGCCAGCACACACCAGCTCCAGCACTGACTCCACTGTGGGCCAAAAGCTCCCTGGGTTCCCACACCTCCCCTGGCCTCCTCCCCTCCCTGCTCGGGGACCCTCCAAGGGAGGTGAGGGACGTTGTAGATAAGGGGCAATGCAGGTAAGAGAAGGTGCAGGTGAGGGACCCAGCAAGTGAGGGCTGGGCCAGCAGAGAGGGTGAGCTGACCCACAGCAGCCCGGGAAAGGTGGCTAGAGTGGCTCCCACCGAGTGATGCTAAAGGTTCTGGCACATGGCACCTGCACCCACCTCCTTTGCCAGGAATGTGGACAGGGAGGCCAGCCATGGGGGAGTAAAGAGGGGACAACTCCATTTACCATCATGGGTGGGCCCCCGCAAAGGCTGAACTGAGGTGGGAGGGCTGCGAGCAGAGGGGTGCACAAAGTGAAGGGGAAGAACACCTTCAGAGCAACCGACACGCACAGGCGGGAAGCAAACAGAGGCAGTCTGTGCTCTCTGGCTTGGGCGACACCCCTTCACTACTGTCCGGAGTGTCCTTGATGCCACCAGAACAAGAGCACAGCAAACAAAAACGGGGCGAAGAGCAAGTTCCAGAAGCCTGGGTCCTCATCTCAGGCAGAGCTGTGCAGGAGATGCCTGAGGAAGGCCTGAGTCCACGCCCACGTCTGGCACACACCCCACCTCTCTCTCTAAGGGGCAGGGCACAGGGACACCTTGAGCTGGGAGGTACGGGCCCCCCAGCTCAGGCCTCTGGGAGCACAGTGCCGTCCTCTCTGCCAGCACAGACTGGCACACTGGGCACTCCAAATCCAGACAGACAGCAGCCTGCAGGCCATGATGGCTGGAGAGTGCTGCAGGGCCCATGTCATCTCTGGGTCAGGGTCTCTCTAAGTCCTAACCCTGAGGCAAGAAATAGAGGGAACCTCAACCCTCCAAGCCATAGAGTACTGAACACAGACAAGAAACTGTAGAGGCCACACCACAGAGAGGCCTCCCTGCCACTGCCTCTGACTCCAGAAGCTCTTGACAAGACAGGAGGTAGAGAAAGAGACTTGCAGGTGAGGGCACTAGTGCCAGTCCCTGCACTCTGGCCCCAGCAAAGTCAGCAAGAAGAGAGACAGGGGTCCCCTTCACAGGACCATGGGCACCTCCAGTCACACATGTCAAGCAGCACCAAGGTAGGCTGCTGTCACTAACCCAGTGCTCATCACTGTCACCCTCTGCTGATGAGGCTGTTCACCCCAGGACCACAGGCTGCAGGAGGCACACTCCTGGGACTCAAAGAGAGCCATATGCACACTGTAATGCATCACAGGGAAAGGTCACAATGCAAACTCCTCAAAGGGAGAAGCCCGTGGAGGAGTCCGGGAGACCAGGCTCACATTTCCAGAACCCTCCCCAGCCAACACCCCCAGAACAAGCTGTGACAGAGTGTGGAATGCTGTACCCGGAAGCCCACCAGACACCCAGCACCCAGGCTTTTTCCTGGGGCTGGTCGCACGGGCACCCATGCCTGTTAGACAGTCAGTTCCAGACTCCCAGAGGGAAGCAGGTGCTCAGCGAAAACCAGTATTGCCCAGCCGGCGTGGCTCAGTGGTTGAGTGTCAACCTATGATCCAGGAGATCACAATTTGATTCTGGACAGGGCACATGCCAGGGTTGCAGGCTTGACCCCCAGTAGGGGGCATGCGGTCATTGATGAGACCAATGACTCTCCCATCACTTATGCTTCTCTTTCTTCCTCTCCCTTCCTCTCTCTGAAACCAATAAAATTATATACATAAACCAACACATTGTTTGCAAACAGTTTACCCTCAGAGAGCCCCTCCTATCAGGGTGGGGACCCTCCCCAAATCTACCTTCTGGAACACAGGGGAGCCAGCCCTGCCAGCAGGCCTTTCTGAGATGGCAGCCTTAGGCCCACGTGTGAGCTCATCTGCATGAGACCCAGCACAGGTCCCCAGTTAGGAGACAGTGCCAGATGCGTGCCTCACCAAGGTGAGTCCCAGGGAGCAAGAGCCATTAGGCTGTGAGGCCCCAAGCCCAGCCACAAGGCCGCCCGTGTTCTGCTTCCAGTTGCTGTGTGCTGACAACCAGCAGGAGCAGCCCTCACAAGCCTCTCTTACCTTCTACATTGTTGTAGAAGTGACAGGTGTGACTCGCCACCTTCTTGCGGCACAGGTGGATCTGGGAGGGAAAGGACATGTGTGATGGCCAAGGAAGGAAGGGCAGAGCACAGAGCACTGAGTGCTCCAGAGCCTGCCCTAGCCCGTGCCCCCCACCACTCCACCTCGGCCAGCTCTTCACCCGCTGCCTCCCCGGGGCACAGCCCAGGGCCCTGAGAGCCAGCAGCACCGCCTAGAAAAACCGAAGAGGACGATAGGCAGCCCAGGAGCCCACCTGCACGTGGTTACTGTCCTGCTTCTTCACCTCGGGGTGGATGCACAGCTGCTCCCGGGAGCCCAGCACACACACCCTGGGCCTGGGAGAGAGAGTTGTGGGGCCCAAGAACTGGAGGACAGCAGCCCACAGTGCCATCCAACAGCATGAGCTGTGTGGGGACACACGACGAGCACCAAGAAACTTGTCTCACGTAGGCAGGGAGAGGGAGTGGCCATGGCCAGAATATAACCAGGCTTGGGAGAGGCTTTCTCCAAGGCCCAGGGTGAGCAAGAAGCCAAGGCTAGGACTGGGCAAGGGGGAGGAGACTTGAGAGCATCCACATGCTTGCTCACAGAGGCCAAGTGGGGCACCAAGGCTCCTGCAGCTCTGCCAGCTGGACCAGGGGCAGAGCCTCTCTCCCACTCAGGTGAGCAGCTCCACTGACCCACACCACAGCTGATATCACAGCACCTACAGGAGCTCAGGGTGTGGACCAGGGTCAGCATGTAAACTCGAACTGCTTTCTCAGAAGCTATGGGCATCAGAGACTGCCCGGGCATGCACGAAGCATAGCACGGAGCACAGCGTGCACTCCAGCTGGGGTCCCATCACACCACTGTCAGCACAACACCGTGCTGAGGCCATCCCCCCACAATTCTGAGGAAGGGGGGAGCAATGCGTGACCCACCGGTAGGATGTGTTCCGAAGCTCACCGATGACCTGCGTGAGTTGTGAGTGGGTCCTGGAGGCATAAATGATCTTCGGGATGTCTGCATAGCAAGCTGCCCAAGCACAAAGAAGCAGAACAGGGTATGGCTCCGAGAGACAGCATTCCCAAGCGCTGTGACCCAGGACACCCAGCTAACCCAGCCCTTCAGATGGCTACGTGGGTATCTGCAGTGTCCTAATTTGGCTGTAAGGTTCTGGCCCTAGTTTTGCAGTCAGGATGGCAGAAGTGATGTGGCAGCTCAATACTGCTCACCCTGCTCAAGGGCATCACCCTCCTGCTCCATCCCTTTCCCCCCTTCCTTCCATCCCTGCATCCCTGAGGGAGGCCAGGACAGGGGCTGACCTGTGGCATCTCCCTCTGAAGCAGCATTCCCCCAGGACGACAAGGAGCGATCCAGGAAGAGCTCCCCTTGGGTCCTCTCAGCAATCTTGCCAGCAGAGATGGCATCACGAAGGTGCTCCCGCCAGGCGAGCGTGCTACAGAGCAGGCACAGGGTCTTCCCTGTGCCTGTAGGGCTCTCCAGGACGCCGTTCACTTTCTGAATGGGAAAGCAGAGGTGAGGCAAGGCAGGCCACACTGCCCACCTGAGACAGACCTGAAGCTCTGCTCAGGCAAAGCCCACCCACCAAGTGGCAAAAGCCCCAAGGGACAAGGGATGAGGGACTATGGATCATTCTATAGGGCAGACTTCCACTCTCAAACCAACGCCTTTGGTTAATTTGGCCCTCATTAGCAAACAATTTGCAGAGTATTTTCCAGCCTAATATAAATAGTAAGATGACTAATTAGGTGCTAAGTCTCAAAATAGGGACTTGTTCTGCGATTCTGGGTCCAGGCTTTCACACTATCGGAGGGAACCTGGCGGCCTACATAGCTCTCAGCCAGGAGCCTGAGCAGGAAACCTGGGAAACAGTAGGGAAAAGCTGTGCCAGGCTCCTCCCCACAAAATTCTGTGCCCACAGCAGCAGCCTTGAGCCCAGCTGCAGTCAGCCCTTGGGGGCTTGAGCAGGGAAGAAGAAGGCATGCTAAGAAACCTGCACCCTCCTACCTTCCTGCAGGTTTAAAGACCTTCCAAAATGAGCATTGTGCACCGGCTGTCCCTCTATGTGGAAGTACGTCCTCCAGATCCTCAAATGGCTGGCTGGTCCTTGTCACTTGGCCTCAGCTCACCTCCTCAGAGAGGCCCCACACGTGCTCCCAAACCTATTACCTTATGTCTTTCCTTCAAAGCACTCATTGCCACCTGGAATTATCTTTTCTTGTTCATTGCTTATCTTGTTCATTGTCTCTTTCTCCACCTAGAACATCGGCCCTGCTTATGACTGACTTCCATGTCCAAAAGGGTGCCTTTCACCCAGTAGGACTAGGCCACAGTGAATAGGGCGGTGGAGTATGTCGGGTCTTTGCTGAAGCTCTGCCCACACTGACTCACCCCCCAGGTACAAGCTTTACCTTCTGTAGACACTCCAGAACCTTGGTCATGTACTCCTCCTGGCATTTGTATGGCTGGAAAGGGAAATCCACAGTCACCCCGTTCAGGGTTATCTTGGGCATAGTGGTCTGTTTTCAGGAAGGCACAGAGGTTGGCTGAAATGCAGGCTGTGTGGGTCTGTGAGACAAAACGCCCTGTGAACATCTCAGTGTCTCAGCCACTCCAGGTAAGGATGTCAGCTGTGGCACTGGGACTTGGTGCAATTCTCCGGGGAACCTCTATGGCACAAAGTTGGGGACAACACTGTTTGTAGCCAGCTTTTCTGGAGGTCAGGCCACTTCAGTCATCTCAGGCAGCCCCTCCCATGGACATGGTCCCAAGGCAAGCCCATGACATCTTATCACAAGGAGCTGGGAGGTGAAGAACCCAACATCAGCTCTGCCTTGTCCTTCTGTCCTACACAACTCTGTCCTGTTCTGGGAGAGGCTACCAGGCTCAGAGACTAAAGAAGCCTAAGCAGGGCATAGTTCCACACGCTCCATCTGAAATAATAATTCACTTTCTTCCACCAGAGCTTGAGAAGCCAGATTCTACCAGCATCCCACCGCAGCCAGGCCGGTCTGAGCCTCCCGCCCCCGCGTCTCCGCACCCTCCGCTCCCCGGCCGGGAGCTACGCCCAGCTCTCTCCCGCAGGCAACCGGGCGTAAAGAAAGAGCACGTGCCCGGCCTCATCTGGGGGCGAATCCATGCCGTCCCCAGCAAGTCACTCAACTTCTCTAGGCCTCAGGTTCCCCTGGACGCCGGGACTAGCAGGCCAAGCGCCTGAACACTGAATGCCCGCCCTCGCTGCAGGCCGGGCCACAGGGGAACCACAGCCAAGCGACCGGTTCCGCCGAGCGCCGCGCGCGGAGCCCACGAGCTAAGGAAAACTACCAGCCCCAGAACGCAGCGCGGCCAAATCGCCTACGATTGGGCCCGAGGGCGGCACGCGGCCTGCCGGGAGCTGTAGTTTCGGAAGCCGCCGCTCGCGTAAAAGTACCAGTTCCAAGGTCTCCGTGACTCTCGGCCCACTAGCGTCTGCGGGGAGGCTTCCACGACCGAGGGTCCCCGGAATTCACCCCAGTTCTCCCGAGGCCCTACCAGCGCATCCTCCACCGTCAGCCGTTCAGACTTCGCGGGCTAACGAGCGCAGTCGCGATTTTACGTCACTTCTCCCAATTCCGGTCCGCGGCTTGGTGCTCCCAGCGGAAACCGTTTTCCAGCCGAGGGTTCCGCGCTGCCTGTGCGCTGAGTTCCAGGCCCCACTTTCCCCTTTCTTCGACCCTGAGCCCCAGACAGGCGCTCCATCTCCCGCCAGCCGAAAGCTCGGGTCCAGCCTGTCCCCTCCCTCGATGTCATCCCCACCGTGGCCTCCATTCTACTAGCTACCTTGTTTGCCTGGACACCCAGAACGCTTTGCCAGCCTCCTTAAATCCGAAAATGGCTGCCCCTTGCCATGACCCGGCTCCTGGGAGTCTCACCAGCTCCTTCATTACTGTCCCCTGGATTCAGCCGCTTTTCCTGGTCAGGGTGGGACACCTCTGAATGCCCAGCACCTAGCACCAGCTGGCAGTCAACAGGGGGTCCCAGGAATCTGCACAGCTCTGTGGGGTGAGAGATACTGGTCTAGGCCACCCCAGCATGTTCCAAAGACGCCAGGACAAAATTGACGCTGTAGTGATGTCCCACAGGTAGCTGGCAATGATGATTTCAGAGCTCCTTGTGGGCTTGTTTAATGTCCAGATGTTTTCCCACTGATGGCACATTTATGCCACATGGGTGTCCATGCTGATGTGGGAGATCATGCTTGGGGAAGCCCAGGACACAAGCTGGCTTCCACCCCCACTGCCTGTTCCAGTGAGGGGACTGTAGAGTGCCCACCTCGGCCTCTGAGCAGGGAGCTTGGAGAAGATAAGGAGACCTGGCCACACCCTTGTTGAATGCTCACCAGCCACAGGCTTCAGAACCATCCATGCAGACATTGGTATGTGTGTCCTAACGGCCTCTGAAATAAGTTCATTTATTGTCTACACTTTACAGGTAAGGAAAGAAAGCACAGGTGGTTAGTAGATTGCCCAAAGCCAGCAGCTAGCAAGTCTCAGAGAGGAAATGGAAACAGGTTCACCAGAGTAAGTCCCACTCAGAGGTACAGGGATCTTGATCAGCCAACAAATTTGAATTGTCTGCTCTGGCAGGCTTTGTGGGACTTCCACAATGGATCAAATACCATGTGGACCACAGGACAGATGTTAACTGTTAGACAGACATGAGCAGAACAAGGATGATGGGCCAGGTACAAAACCCCACCAGTGCAGAAAGGCCCAAATGCCTAGCATGGGGCACAACTGGGAAAACAAGAACCTTGTCCCCAGGGTAGCCTATCCTCCCCCAGCATATCACTGTAATGTGGTTTAGCCCCCCCTGAGTGTTTCCTCCCTAAAGATAACATCTAGGCCTCAGTTGCATTTCAGCTCCAGGCACAGAAAAGCAGCAAAACCCACCCAAGTGGCATCATGGCTGCCTCAGGACCAGCTACATTGACTAAAGATGGGGCCCTGGCACTGACCAATCCATGGAGACCATGACCCTGAAAAAGCACATCTGGAAAGCTGGTGAATATTCTACTGAGAGCCTTTCCTGAGACCTTTTTTAAAGATTTCCACCTGCAAGAAAGAGATAAATATGCTCAGGACAAAGAACCCAGCAAGGGCTTCCCACCAGGGGACCACACCAACACCATCTACATCCCCCTTCTTCCCTCCGAGGGCACCCCACCACAAGACTTGCAACCAGGGGAGCAATGGGCAGCAGCAGCTCATCCCCAGCTCACCCCCTGACCCTGTCTCCAGGCCCCTTCTCCCCCTGACTTCTCAGTGGCCAGAGCAGCCCAGCCAGGCTCTCCTGCTGCCTCTTCTATGCACCTCCTTGCCCTACCGTCCTAAGTGTATTTTGCTGCCGTCATGGACCCAGTGCCCTTTGACTCAGTGCTGTGTAGCTCTTCCCTTTGGATATTCCCATCCCCCATCCCCTTTCCTTAAATAAATTCAGTTTTGCTTTATTTAAGGTCTGAGATGGCTATTGAACTGCCCCCACACTACCCCACCCTAACCTTTCATTACCCAGTCACAGGCTTGCTCTGCTTGCTTAGTGTGCACATCAAGGTGTGTTTCTACCCATAGCTGCTGGACCTCCTCCGGACTGACTCTGATCCTTGTCTTTCACCTCTCTGAGCCTACCTCATCTCTCCGCAGGTTCCTGGAGTTTCCAAGACTTTTATTCTTGGTCCTGGGACTTAATTGCTTCTGGAGTAAGCACTGCTCTCCACCTTGGTGGCCCTGCCCCTAAAATGGGAATGACAGCTCATCTGTCTGACTTTCTAACCCCAAAGTAAGGTGAGGTGGTCACTGCAGAAGAGGGCCCACCACTTCTGCCAGGATTGATCACCCTTGTTGGAATCACTGGGAACCCTGAGCCCAGAGGAGGGGCGACAGAAGGTCCACCCACTCAACAAGTGTACACATCTGTCCTCTATCATCTGGGAACTGGGGTCATTGTCCCATCTTACCCCTGAGAAATGGAGGCCTGGCAAGTTCAGAAACTCACCCTCAGCCACAGAGCAAGTGGCTGTCAGAGCTGTGTTTGGAACCCACCTATATCTTGCTTTGAAGTCCTTGTCCTAGGCCCTTGGTCACCACCCCACCTACACTGTTCTCTGCCTCAGAATCTGCTCATCCTCTGGGATGCCTCTCTCGGATCTTCCACACCAGCCCCCACCCATGTCCGTGACATGCTTTCCCCTCAGTACAGAAGGTGCCCCGCAGTCTCCATGGGCTTCAGTGAAGAGCTATCCATCCCCAACCTCACCTAGGATGGTCCCCTCCTGCCTAGCCCACCCTGAGGAATGAGGGCTCTCTGCACCATCCCCCAGCCTTCACAAAGCCAAACTGGGGGACCAGCGGGTCCCTGGAGTAGTGGAGGAGGATGGGCATCTGTTGGCCCCAGGCTGGCCTCACCCCTCCGACCCCCATCCATCAGTCTCCCTCCGGCTGCCGCAGCCCAGGCTGCACTCCGGCATGAAATTCCTCTCCCTCTCCCTCCCCCTCCCTCCCTCTCTCCCCCTCTTTCTCCC